CAGAAAATACTTCCTATCAGCAGCAGAATTCCACTGGCAAACCTGGGGCCTTTGAGAATCAACCACCCTGTACTTCAAGGTTACACACATGCCTCAAGAGGCCATGAGGACCTCAGGATGTATCATTAAATAATTCTAAAACAATGGAGAGAAAGGGGGAGGACAGCTGTGATTCAGGATTGGGGTGCACAAGAGACAGTTTCCAACTGATTTACCAGATGAGGAATGCACATGAGAAACTCAGTACAATCCACAACCAGGTCCCAGCAAACTTGCAAGAAATGTGATAGAGGACAGAGTGACAGGAGGCAAAAGCCCCACTGAGTAGCACATCTGTGTGGAGCTCTGTGTGACTAAGTTCCTTAAAGGTGGCTTGTGAGGAAAGAACATGTACTCAACCCTAAGAGAAACCTAACTGATACCAGAGACTGAAATTTTGGGTAATGTGGTCATGGTACTACCCCAGAGGGAGATGGCCAGTCAGACACTAGAAGAGTGAGAAGGGATGGGGGACACAGTTGAAATATCCATACCTTCTCTGGCCATTCTGTAACTATGTTATAAGACAGTGAATCATTTCCAACATCTACCTTAAAGTAGTATGTTCTGTCTTTCCATTGTTTCCTTCCTTTCTCCTCTTCTCTTCACAGTTCTTGTCCCTCCCTCCCTCCACCTGCCCACCTTTCTCTCCTCCCTGAAGCTATGGATCTATTTATAAAAATAACAGTATACAGATGAACACCAACTGTGACAGGAGAGCCTGTGAGAATAAAGTGGCTTAGAAAAATGTATGGAAGATCCTGATGATGGTGCCTGAGCCTGGGGTGTCAGGTTCATGGGAGGTAACATAGTGGTAGAGTTTTGTGGATGTTCAGGCTTCCTAAACTCAATGTCTAGTAAGAGATTGTGTACTGAGGGCAACTGTGCAGTAGAAACCTAAGGTTAAGTCTACTTTGGTCAAAGAAAATTTGTAGACTATAAGTTCATAGACTCAGTGATTTCCTTGTTCCTGTGTTATGCAAGAGAAGGATGACACCACTAGAGTGGTAGCCTTCAACATTGTTTCATCCTATGAGACATCTAGGTAATCTTCACTGTCCACTCTTAGTGACATATATAAACCGTAATGAACATGGCATATGTAGTGAATGTCACACTTGGTGGACCAAGTCAGCACACCATGACACACAGAAAGATCCAGGGCTCTCAGACTAAGTTGAAGTACTCAGCTTTCTTAGCATTCTGAGGTGATTCATAGAAAGCCCACTCTGGTCTCTGCTCAAGCAAAAAGCAGGAATAAACATAATGACTGGAACACATCGTACAAAGAAGAAATAAATTAAGGAGGCAGAAATCACAAAAACAAGTGTACAGATTTTAGTGTTGGTACAACATTCCTTCCAGTAACGCCACCCAGGAAGAGATTCCAGCTAACAGCATATAACTTCTGCAATGCTGATTTGGTCACTCCCAGAATACTTGGAGTGCTATCTGAATTCTTCTATAGTCAGTCTCCAGGTGCATCATCACTCTATAACCAGTGGCCCACCCAAGGAAGAACAAGACCCTCACAATGAATTTTAACAACTAATAGGCCTTTACCTGAGAGTTTTCTCTAGCCTTGGGCTACACACAGAAACATTCAAGCTTTAAATAATAACAAAATTCAGGAGTTATTTTTGTTACACCAAGGAGTTCAGTCAACATTTGCCTCAAACATTTATTGAACAGTAGTTGACCTATTCATCTGAGCTATGGAACCATAGCACCCACATAACTCCTTTTAACTTCTGGGCTCCAATAGTGGTATCTGTTGATCACTGGGTTCTGAATGGCAGCTATCTTCAGTAACTAGTAACTAGTATAGTGGCCCAATGGAGAAGAGACAGTGTCAATATCCAGTAGTTATAATTACTTGCAGTGCTCAACTAGTGAAGTTTACCAGACAGTAGAACAAAGCCCAGTGTTACATCTGAGTTCAGCAGTTCATGCTGCTGAAGACCCTGAAAGCAAGGTGTGCCTGACGAAGGAATTGTCTGCTGGTCTCAGCAGAAGCTAGGGTAAAATACATAGTGATTTTCTATCAGTTTCAAAAATACCTGCAGGCCCAGAATTGTGATTGTCTTCTAAAATAAGTTATCAATGTAAGAAACACAAAGATAAGAAATCACAGCACCTTATATGTAGACAATTATATGGAGGTCACAAAAAATGTTGAAGCTAATAGACCAATTCTATAACAATACAAGAAATAAAACCAACATAATGTTTCTACATATGTATCACATATATTCTATAAAAAATTACAAGAACAATCCCATTTACAATATCTATAATAACATATCTATTAATAAACTTAATAATAAGATAAAAACATCTACAATGGAAGTTACAAAACACCCTTATAAGAACTTGAAAAGGATACAAACTCAATGAAAGATATTTCACGCCCATAAATGGTAGGCATTTATCGTGTTAAAATATCCAATACCTATCAAAATAGAAAAAATTGGAATACCAAAAATCCTGAAATTTGTAATATCATTAAAGTCCCCCAAATAGTCAAATCTGTCTAGAAAAATAACCTGAAGACATAACAGTATTTGACTTAAAGCACGCTACAAGCCTGCAGAAACTAATACAGCATGATACTGGCATAAACCCACTCTCATTGACCAGTGTAACAGCATAGAAAGCTCAGAAATAAACCTCATGCACTTTAACCAACTGCACTGAGCAAAGGAGCAAGGAACATGATGCAGCAGAGGCAGACTCCTTAGTAAACGATGTCCGGTGCTGGTCAAACAGTTATGTATGCTGAGGAATTACACCAGACTGTCCATCTCTCACTGATTATAGGTCACCTGTGAATGGATCAAAAGGACTTAAATATGTGGTGAAAATTGCTCTAACTACTGGAAGAAAACATGGGAAATTCTTCATGACACTGACCTGGGCAAACACTTTTGGACATCACACAAAACATAAACAACTTTTGGGATTTTACTTATTTCTATATGTAGGAGCTGCTTTGCGTGTGTGCCTGCACACCAGAAGAGGGCATTAGATCCTATTATAGATGGTTGTTTGCCACCATATGGTTGCTGGGAATTGAACTCAGGATCTCTGGAAAAGCAACAAGGGCTCTTAACTGCTAAGCCAACTCTACAGCCCCTTACATTTCCTTTTAGGATTTTATTTATTTCTATTTTTGTATAACAAAAACCAGAGGCCTTGAACCAGCCAATGACTCATTGCAATAAACTTTTGCCAGTCAAGCTGATGGGACAAAGGGTGTACTATATGACACACCAAAGCCTCCGGTGCCACCAGGATGGATGAAGAATTGGTGGAGGGCAGGAGAGAAGGAAAAGCAGAGATTTTTCTGTTCTTGATGTGGTTTTTGTTCTGTTTTGGTTTGTTAGAGCTTTTTTGCTTTTGTTTTTATTTGCTTGCTTTCTTACTTTGTTTTGTTTTCTTTCTTTTAAGGTATGAGGGAGGATATGGGGGGGTCCAGATGATGAACAGAATCGGGATGTGTGATGTGAAATCCCCAAAGATTCAGTAAAGAAGTTGAAAAACAACACAAGCCAAAGTTGGCAAATGGGATTAAATGAAACCCAAAAGCTTCTGCACTGTAAAACAAAACAAAAAAGCAGCAGTGCTAAGTGATAATTACAAAACTGAAAAAATACCTTTGAACTGTATATCTGAATGGACATTAATATAAGGAACTAAAATCACTCAATAGAAAGGAATGACCTAATGACCCAATAAAACTACTGGATAAAGCAGTGAATTTCTCAAGTGAAGACATGAGTAGGCACATTAAAAAGAAGTCCAGCATCCCTAACCATCAGAGAAACCCAAATCAAAACTACAAGGAAATACTACATCACTCAGGTAAAAATGACCATTATCAACAAGGCAAAAATCGACACACTCTGGCCAGGATACAGAGGAAGAAAAGTTCATCTACATTGTTTGTGGGAATGTAAGTTAGTACAGCTTTTACAGAAACAGGAAAAGGCTGCAATGCCACGCTAGGCATGTCCCCCCCCCCAAGAAATGAATCAACATGTTAAAAAAAACCACTGAACTCCAAAGTTCACTGAGTCCCTATTTACAATTAATGGATAAAGGAAATGGGATACACATCCACAATGGGATCGTATTCAACCATAGCAAAGGATGGAATCCTTTCGTTGGTGACAATATGGATGGAACTGGGGATCATTGTGATAAGTAAAATGGGAAAGACAAATAGCAAATGAGCTCGCTCATCCATAGAATCTAAAGCACATGGTTTTATGGAAACTGAAGGTAGACTTGTTTGGAAGCAGTAGTAGGAATGGGAGTGTTTAATATGACCTAGTAGGGATGGGGGTGTTTAATATCACCGTGGGGTGGTGAACAGCGAAGCATAGCATATTTTAAAATGGATGAGAAGATTTTTGAGTGCATTTGTCCTGAAGAAGAAATAAAAAGTCTGAAGTGCTACATATACTGATAGCTTTGATTTAATTTTTACACAATGTTTTCATGAAGCGAAACATCATTTTGTTTCAAGGGTGCGTAATATTATTTGGTAATTAGAAGTTTTCTGTTTACAAACTTTAAAAACCAGCCTGTCTTTCTAAGGGCTTCCTCCACAGTAAAAAGAAGTGGTTTCCAAAACTCTCATACTTTTAGCCTCCTATTTGAGCTCACCAGCAGGACTCCAGTGACACATGAGTTTTTCGTTGCCATTTCGCTGTGACCTTCCAGAAGAACTAGAAATACCTCTTCATCCACTCCAAACACTGAAAAGCTGAACTGGATTAGTGGATAGGGTTGTTTCTAGTCCAAGACATCTATCACTTCCTTTTGATTTAATAAGTCACCTCCCAAGAAGCCTGATCCCCATCACAGCAGCCACACCATAAGAGGTGGACTATGGAGTCAGGCCAGGTGACATCACCATCAGACAGCAAGCATGAACACAATGTTAAACCACAGATTTTCATTTACAAAAGCTGGAATGAAGGCAGAGCAACCCCAACAATCCACTTCCTTAAGGAAGGGCTCATTTTTCTGTATAAAAATCCAGCTGGCCAGAGATCTCTCAACACATCCAAGAGTCCAGAGAGCCTCATCATCTGAGGTAAGACTCCCCACTTAGAACTTTCTAACAGCCATTCTGTGATGTAGGTCTTGTTTGGCAACTCTCGACCACCTAAAGGTTTGTCCTCTTTATTCTCACTGGAGATGTTTTACTAACCTCTCAAAGAATAGCTGTAGGACTGAGGATCAGAAAAGGGGGGTGATCTATAAAGAACAGCATTAACCTAACAGGAAGTCATGGGTGAAATGACAGAATGGCATTCTCTAATCTTGTTGAGAATTTTCGTCATCAAAGATACTTCTCTGTACATTTGGATGCTCAAATCTTAAAATCTTCTTTGCTCCATGAACCTATAATCCATCATGAATATAATACAGGGTTTACTGGAAATGGAAGAGTTGGGTTCTTGCTAGGATAAAGGAAGGAAGAAGATTTAGAAACTGGCAGAGGCATCAGGTGGGAAGCCACAGTGAGCTTGTGTGAACAAGCAGTGGTGCAGTGAGAACACACAATGAACAGATGTAGAGGAAAAGTGTGACTTGGGGCTCAAATGTGACTCCTGCAAGCATGAGGGGAGGTTCACAGGGAGCCTTCCTATGAGAGTTCCACTCTAGACATTTTTGCCCTATTACTCTCTGAAATGACAGAAAACCTAGGGACTCACAGCAATCCTAATCACTCACTATTGGTTGGTTTGAGTTGTTCTGCTCTCTTTATGGTCTGTACATAGATTTTAAAAAACACTATAGACGAAGGAATTATAAAAGGGCTCTAGTCACACAGATATGAAAAAATAATAAATTCAAAAGACGAGTAAAGAGGAAGGAATTTTTTTGGTTTTACGAGACAAGGTTTCTCTGTATTGTGTTGGAGGCTGTCGGTCCAGCCTGGCCTCAAACTCACAGAGATCCGCCTGCCTCTGCCTCCCAAGTGCTGGGATTAAAGGCGTGCACCACCACTGCCTGGCAAGGAAGGAATTTTCAATGTACCATTCTGCAGAAAGGGATACCAGCAGAGAGAAAAAACAAAGGTGTCCATGTGCTGGACTAGTACAAGGCAAGATCTTGAGAAATTCCTAACCTTTCTTCCCATTGGCCAAGACTTTCCCCCTTTACAAATACCCTGCACTTTTGGTTTAAGACATAGTCTTATCTAACAAACAATTTGCAGCTGGAGGCTTCCCCCTTTTCTGCTTGTGGTCTTAGTCACAAAGCAAATTGCCTGTAACTATCTATTTCCAGACAAGCAGCTAGCCAGAGTAGAATGGGTTCTAATGTCTCCTGAGATCTGTAACTGACGAATGTGAAGTGTGCCTCATAATGAAACTGACTATAGCTGGGCAGCGGTGGCCCCTGCCTTTAATCCCAGCACTTGGGAGGCAGAGGAAGGAGAATTTCTGTGACTTTAAAGCCAACCTTGTCTACAGAGTGAGTTCCAGGACATCCAGAATTGTTTCACAGAGAAATCCTGTCTCAAAAAAACAAAAGAAAGAAAGGAAGAAAGAAAGGAAGGAAGGGATCAATTATAACCATTTATTTCTTATACAGAGATGATCAAATTGCTTTAATCTTTCTTTTCCTTAAAAATAAGTAACATCTATAAAAGCAAGGTATGATTTTCATCCAGCTTAGGAAAATAGAAGCATCATTAATTTATAGGGGAAAAGCAATGAAAAAAATGGGATTCTACCAATTCCCTCAAAGATACCCAATCAGTTGTCCTGTCTCTAGGGTCAGCAGCCTTTGAAGCATGAGTTCCTACCAGCAGAAGCAGCCCTTTGTCGCACCTCCTCAACCTCAACAGCATCAAGTGAAGCAACCTTGCCAGCCTCCACCACAAGAGCAATTTGCTCCCATAACCACCACGGAGCCAAGCTGCACAGATGTTCCACAACCAGGAAACACCAAGATTCCAGAGCCATTCAACACCAAAGTGCCTGAGCCAGGCTATGTCCTTGGGCCAGATTATACCACAATGCCTGGGCCATGCTCTACCAACATCCCTGAGCCAGATTATACCACAATGCCTGGGCCATGTGATACCAACATCACTAAGCCAGATTGTACCACAGTTCCAGGCTCATTCTCTACCAAAGCCACTGAATCAGATTATACAGCAATGCCTGGGCCATGCTCTACCAACATCCCTGGACCTGGGCCAGCTTGCACCACAGTTCCCGAGTCATGTTCCACCAATAACACTGACTCAGGTTATACCGTGATTCCTGGGCCATGCTCTACCAATGTTCCTGAACCTGGCTATGTGAACATCTCAGAGCCCAACTATACCAAGGTCCCTGATCAGGGCTACACCAAGGTACCTGGCCAGGGATATTCTAATGTACCAGAGCCATGCCAGTCCAAGGTTACTGAGGTGTACCCTACAAATGTCACTCCAGAACTAACTCAACAGAAGACGAAGTAGAAGTAAGGTCCTTGAAGAGCCAACCACCCGCTGCTGAACTTCTTCTTGTCTGCTTCTGTCCCCATCTTCTAGGGACCATGTAGCGATATGTTGCCATACCCTCTATTGTATCCTAAGAATGTGTGCCATAGTGTCTTCCTCTATGCCCCCCCCAAGATGTCTTTAAAGCCTTGGAGTTAAGCAGAATGTCTCAGGACATTGAACGCTTTGATTCCTTGGAGCTTACCTAAAGCAGAACTATGGGATTCTCTATGGGAAAAAAATGCATGTTTTCTGCTTTGCCCCATTAAATTGCTTTTATCTCCACTTTTGCCTCTGTGTGATACATACTGAATTGTTCCCCTTCCTTTGCCTCCCTTTGTGAGTCAAGACCTACATAATGATAAGAATCACTATAGATGTAGTCTTATTAGCATTAACTCTGTCACAGTGCACTCTCAGGAAGCTGTGAGGACACATTAGGAGGCTCTCATGGATGAGTGTTCACGTATTGTTTACTGGCACTCAAAGCCTGTCACTTTGGAAAACTAGTTTGAACAAGGTCTTACTTCTGAATTTGACTGAGCCATACCTAACCACTTTCTCTGCCCTAAGTGGCTACCTCTCATTCTGCTGTACCTAGAAGTCAAGATTCACTGTGTGCACTTCAATATCAGTTCTCCTTTTTGTTCCCTCATTTTCCCTTTTAGTTGGCCCTGATACATATCAATCTGCTCTTTCCCTGCACATTTCTACACACTCTCACGACCAACTACACAAATTCTACCCTCATTAACTCAGGCAATGTTCCCTTTATCCAGACACCCATCACATAAGGAATCCTGAATCTGGGGACATGAGATAAAAGAATGCTTAGTGCATACCTTGGAGAGATCTGTTTCCTATAGAGATCATGATATTCTGTGTCCTTATCATGCAAACATGTACACACTATGTCCTTCCTCTGCATATCCCACCCTCCTTCTTAATAGTCTTGTCTATTGAGGAATAGTGCACAGAACATTTTATCCATTGATTAAAACAGGGGGTGAGCTTTAAGCGATGACATGGACTCCCCAATTCAAATGAGGGAATAAGTATGTACAAAGTTAGGAAAGTGCAGGACACTGCGTTGTGAAGTTCCAGGAGTGAAATGGGGACTAGAAGAACACTAAGTAAGCTGTTCCATGGTTCCATGAAAGAAGATAAATATGCCTTTGCCTCACACCTAGAGCTTAGAGTCTCAGCTCCCTGCTGTCACCCACAATGCTATCTTGGTTTCAGGAATGACAGATGAGTCTGTTTGCAGAGGAAGAGGTAATGGAGAGCCATCTCCAGAAGCAGAGGAAAACTGCAGCTGTCCCCAGGGAACAGGCTGTGTTTTTGGAAAGTTCCACTACATCATAGGTATGAGTCAGGCAACAAGCAGAAGCACCATGTTAGACAAGAACTTCAAGTAGGTTTCACAAGAGTTCCTGAGACATATGAAAGCTCAAGGAGAAAACTCACCGTCCAAATCATCACAAGGGGATGAGAAGTCATTAGACAGGCAGGAGAAGACATCACCTCTCATATCTGTTAGGTACATACATGCTGAGGTGACTTCATATCACCACTGGTTTCAACGGTGGAAAAGTCTAGAGATGAGTGCAGGATGAGTCACTATTAAATAAGACAATGCTAAGTGCAAATGCACACTGTGTGCTACGCAACTGTGGTGAATATAGAATAATGTACTTTTGTTGATTTATCATTTGGAGCTTTCAAAACATTTTATTACATATTATATATATAATACACATACACGTGTGTGTGTGTGTTAGCTGAAGTGTACAGTTTTGTGGCATCAACTTGATCTGCAGTGTGTATCTTTGTTAAAATGCATGCAAGTGAGTTTACAAAACATGAAAATCTCTAATGTTAATTTCAGCAAAATATAAATGGTGGTTGCTCCTGTCAAGTCTTTGTTAATGTTCACTTTTGTCTGTCTTTCAGAAGAATTTGCATCATGTGATGCTCCCTTGTACTTTGTTTGTGACTTTTATTATGATACTTAATATAAGACCACTGAGTTAGCAATTAGATAAAGAACACACATGTGTTTGGCCTTTTCAGAACCATTCCTAGATTTTTCAGCAGAGATCACCTATGAGGAGCTCAAGCACTCTTCTGGAGTCCTTACTGAAAGAGTCCCTAGTAGCTTTCTTTTCTACACACCTGTTTTGATTATTACATTTTATTTGTCATCTGTGTATATGCATGTGGATGTATGGGCCCCACACAGTGTGTGGAAGTCAAAGGACAACCTTCAGAAACAGGTTCTCTTCTTCTACCATGTGGGAACCAGACATCAAACTCAGGTTATCTGCCTTGGTGACAAGTCAGCCCCTTTACCCACTGAGCTTCTCCCTAGGCATCCTCCCAACTATGAGTCTCAGTCTTCTCTTGTGGAACTGGGAAGACCCAACAGCCACTGAAACTAGCAGCCCCAGAATTTCCAGCTCAACCAGCTGGCCAGGCTGTTTGTATAGAGCTCCTTCATTTTGATTAAACTGTGACAATTGCGTAGCTAAAGTGGTTATGCTTCTCTGGATTATTGTCTTCTCTGCCCTATTAACTCCCCAATGGCTAGGGAAGAAGTTTACCCATCCAGCTATCATTCCTTAACTGACTACTCCCTGGTTACCCCAGCACTGACCAACTGCAAACCAAAAGGGGGAATTTACAGTCTCCTTCCCACACCACTTTCTGTGAAAGCTGGGAGAAAGAACCCCACTATGCCACATGGACCTGAATACTCCTCAGAACTCACCCCTTCCTCCCACTGTGTTGCTGTCTGTATGTCTGAGACATTAACACTCTTCTCATAACTTTCATACTCCAAAATATAACCTCTTCTCAGTGTCTCCTAAAAACCCCAAACTCAAATCATTCAGGTTTGTTCTCTCCCATCAGATTTTTCTTCTGTGTTTAGTAGATTCGCTCCTGCCCCAGTGTTACACTAATGTTTGAAGGGAAAAGTGCTGCTTCTGCTTGAAAACCCTGAACTTCAAGCCAGCCATGTGTACACAATTTGGCAAATAACAGGTTGACATTTCAGATCACTGGATCACTATCTTATTCTACATAAAAACAAATGACAACTGTCCCCCACCCCATGCCTCTGCTTTGTTCTCCACATCTCTCTTTCCTCCTCCTTCTGGGGCCATAACCTCAATGGCTGGTTTTTTTAGTCTATTTTCTGGCTCAGGTAAAAGTAGTTACTGAAGCAATTTCCAGCGCATCTGTATTTCTGACTGAGAAAATCTTTAGGTAAGTCTAGGTCAATCACTCTCCCTAACTAATCCCTAGCTCAATTTTCCAAGATCCATCCCCTCTTCCCTGCTGTGATCCATTGTGCCCTAGAGTTGATCTCCTGCCTCATATTCACCATCTCATAAACTTTTTAAAAAAAGATCAACCACCTAACCTAAGCAATTGATCAAATGCGCCACAACCTATAGCAAAGTACTTACACCTCCCACACTGCCCTCACCAAACTTATCCCTGGATTCACATGGATCTCTCCTGGCTTGCAGCCCATGAAGGCAGAGATCTTTGCTGTCTAGCTCAGGACTCCTCTGTCAACTCAGAGCCCAAGCCACTGCCCAACAAATGGCTGGGTCATTTAATGTTGGCTGAAGTGATGAGAGGTTTATCCCTTTGCTGAATAATGTAGAGGATTTGATGACAGTGTCTGCACTACTTTTTTTTAGGAAGGTCCCTCCTATACTGAGAATGCCCTGGAGCCCAATTCTTCCCAACCTCACCACTTACTCTCCTGCCTGACAAATTGAGTTTGACCCCTGGAACCCACACGAAAGAAGAAAAGAAGCAACTCCTGTGTGTTTTCGTCAGGCCTCCACATGGTCAACATGGCATATGCACACACACAACAAAAGAAATATTTTTTTAAAGTTACGAGTTATTTTTATGTTTGTGTCTGTGTATTGTGTGTGTGTGTGTGTGTGTGTGTGTGTGTTCAGGTGGTGTCACTTGAGGTCAAATGAGGGTATTAAATCTCTTTCAGCCACAGTTACAGGTGGTTGTCAGCTGCCTGGTGTGGGTGCTGGGAACCAAACACATGTGTGCTCTGGAAAAGAGTAAGCACTCTTAACCATTGGGGCATCACCCCCCCAGCCCCACAATTCATTAAAGCAACTTAATGGGGGAAGAGTTTACTTGGGTCACAATTTCAGAAGGTATAGTGTATTATAATGGGTTGTTTCCATTGTGGAAGGAGCATGTGACAAAGCCCCTGATGTAGTAGCAAGATTAGGAAGCAAAGAGATAGAACAAAACCAAAAGAGGATGACATAACCTTCCAAAGACCCTTTGGTAGCCTATGTCCTACAGCTAAACACCACATTCCAAGAGTTCTACAGTCTCCCAAAGTCATGCTACTAGCTGGGGATCAAGTGTTTAAACGCTTGAAATTATGGGAGATATTTCACATTCTACCTCTGCCCCTCATGACCATCCTGGAATGAAAAATGCATTCGGTAAAACTTCACATTTTCATACAGTCTGTACTGCATAGTTTTATGTCAACTTGACACAAGCAAAGTTATCAGTGAGGAGGGAACTCCAGTTGAGAAAATGTCTCCCTAACATTTAGCTATAAGTCATTTTCTGAATTAGTAATCAATGGGGGAAGACTCAGCTCATTGTGGGTGTTGTCATCCCTGGGCTGGCAGTCCTAGGTTCTATAAGAAAGCATTCTGAGTGAGCCATGAAGAAAAAGCTAGTAAGCACCACCCCTCCATAGCCTCTTTCTCACCCCCTACCCACCTCCAGCTTCCTGCCATGTTTGAGTTCCTGTTCTGAATTCCTTCAATGATGAAAAATGAAATGGAAGTGGAAGCCAAACAAACCCTTTTCTCTGCAAATTGTGTTGGCCATGGTACTTCATGATAGCAATAGAAATATCATCATAGCAATAGAAATCCTGCCAAAGACACAGTCTTAACTATCATAATACTGTTCAGAAATACAAAATAAAAATTTTCTTTTAAAACTCAACGCAGTAGCTTAACTTTGAGCATCTATAAAATAAAAGCAAGTTATTTACATGCAGGAACAGCACCACACATGGACTCTATCCTGTACCTGCCCTATTTGATACAGGTATGCATGCAGCTTTTCCTTGCAAAGATTATAAAGACCGTGTGTGTGTGTGTGTGTGTGTGTGTGTGTGTGTGTGTGTGTGTGTGTGTGTGTGTAATATTCTCCTATATCCTGGGGGCTCCATTATAGGTTGGGCTTCATCCTCAAAGCTTCATACATTG